TCTCAAATGTTGCTTGGTCGATGCGATTACACTAAGTTAAGTTTAGCGCCCTACCTTGAAGTTTTGTATTTAACCGAATTTATCAACGACCAGTTTTCGATTGAAAACACAAAATTTGACTTTATTTGCTCTGCGGCAGTGGACGAAACAATCATCAGATCTCAACCTTCCAGTACTATGAAGCGTATGTGTCTGAGACCGGCTATTGTGCGCTGAATGTACATAACTTTTCTACAAGTAAGCAAAGCAAAGATCCATACACTCTTTTGGGAAAAGACTAAGAATAGAACTGGAGCCGTGTGGTTTTGGCAGGGTAACTTCTGATGCCTTTATGCTTCAGGGTACGTGCGCATAAGAAGCGGTACCAAGTCGAGCGAAGCTGTTCCGAGCGGATCGGTAAGAGGTTTTCGAATTGCCGTAGCTAAATGAAAGTGTTTATGCGGCAACGTTTTTCAGAAGCCTTTCAGCGCTGAAAATAAAGCTAGTTTGGATTTTGAATTTTCTATTTGATTTCTTAGCTTGTGTTCAAGGCCACGAACTGGCTGATAAATCTGCAAAATAATCAAAAGTTCCTCAAAATGGCTTTACTGGGCGGTGACGAAATCGCTCCTCAAACAGAGAAGCAGTGAGCGACAAGCTGAATAAATAGTACTGGTTACAAGACATATCGTCACAGAGATATTCTACTTTAGGCCCCTTTTCTGTAAAAAAATACAATCTTTTTCCTCAGCCCGATGTTAGAATTTTCTCATCTAAATAAACGTCTTTAATTGTTTATCCAAGTTATTTAATATAGTTATGTTGGTGTTGGCAGGCAGAACGAAAATTGACACCGAAGATGGCACCACACGCCAAACTTGACAGGGGACGATGGAAACTCGTTCCATAATAAATGAATATAGTTATGTTTAGTTCAATTAGAATCAAAAACTTTTATCGGTTTCGATACAAAAAAATGAATTTAATTACTTTAATTAATTTTACAACGTTTATCAGATAACGTAAAAAATAAACGTTACAACAATAACTTTATCAAGCAACGTAAAAAATAAACGTTGGGTTATAACTCTTATCGACCTACGTATTTTGACGGCTTGGTATGTTAAAAATATCGAATTTCCTTTTAAATTTTATTTATTTTTTAATGGGATGAGATTTCAAGTTAGATATACGTGTGTATGTATGTGTCCCTGAAAATATGCATATGGCACTCGAATCACTGAAATGAGAATTTTCAGGGCCCTATCTATTGTTTCTCGTAAATCCATCTGCTGTAAATTATCAAATAAAAAATATAATATGTGAATTTAAAACAAAAATAAAAAAAGGAACAGTCCAGCGCCTTCGTCTTGGTCTGCAGGCTGTATCGGAGATACAGCCGCTATATTTAAACGTAGAATACGTGGTATGGTTAAGAGCATATCCAAGTCAAAAACGAAATCACACACTAAGAAAAAAAGGGTTTTTCCAAAATTTTACAAATTTACATACTTCTAAGTGAAAAGAACTCAATGAGAATATAAGCGAAAGCCCTATTTTTATTTTTATTTTATACCATTGTTTTTTTCTACAGCTTACTGAGATTTAAAGATTTGAAATTTTGAACAGAAAAGATATTTATTGAAAAAA